CTCATTTAATCATCCAAAACGTTATGGAACACATTAATTACCCTGAAAAATTTTGCATAGTGTGCCTTTAAGAAAAACATAACACGCATCATCTCCAGGCACCTTATAGAGGAAATAGATTGGTTCAAAGGTTTTATCAAAGAGAACCGGCAGATTGGATCCAGTCATTGAATAGAAAGCAAGGCAGTTACTTCCTGACACGTGTTCTTATTGCTTTGTTTAAAATCTTTGCCTACATTTATTTTATTTTTAGAGATTTTTTTGCGTTTAATTAGCTACTGTGAACTGAAAGGTAGCATTTACCCATTTTAATCTAGCTAGTTTGCTACCTAATATGTAATTTTGAAATAATGATTTATTAATGGATTATATTTACCATCCAACAAAATCATTGCTTAGAGGGTATATATCTATAACATCATTCTTACATGTCAAAACTGCAGTTTTCTAGTTTTGATGTAGTGAATTTATATTGCAGATATGGTGATAAATATCAAGTCTAAGATTATATATAATAAAACAGCCATATGACTGCATAAACAGCTGGCTTCACCACGTAATCAAATAGGAGTGTTCAGTCGAATGTTCAGTCGCTCCTGAACGCGCCTCTACAGAGACAAAATGTGCTGCGTTCAAAGATCTGCACTGATTCAGGGATGCATCTGAAAATGTGACTTTATGACAGATGGTTGGTTTAGAGAGGCAGTATTTTCTAGAAAAGAACAAAAAAAAAACTTATCATGTTTAAGGACATGGCTGTTATGTTCCTGAATGTCCCACATTGCAGGCGTTGGACGACCTCAGGTGTTAAATTTGCACAGAAACGCTAATCCTCAGATAAAAAGTCTCTCATTAAATCAGACCAACCTGAGATGTGGAGTGTGGGGCTGCTGGGGACATCTAGTGGCTGAAATGTTGTACTGCAACAAATGCTGACTGTTTCCCACCTGGAAACATGCAAAAACTTGATGTGTTTGTACTTCTTGGCCTATAATAGAAATGATGCTCCATCTATTATGCGTTGAAGAGAACTTGGTAAGGATTACTTTGACCCAGTTTAAAGGGTAATGATCTTCGTGTCTCTAGCTGCCAAAGTGAGGTGAAGATGATCCATTCATGCCTTAAAATGTTTGATTTTAGCACAGCTTTGCCTCATTTGAAGTAAGGGTGTTTTAGTATGCAGCTCAGCTCTCGGTTTCTCTCTTTCTATGCATTTGTTTGGATTAATAATGTTAGTATCCAGCCTTTAAGAGAGAAAAAAGATTAAAAGCAGTTGTGCTGCGATAGTCAGCGCTTTTTTGTAACTGTTTGTATATAAAGGCAAGAACACAGAGTCGACTTGGTGTCTGAAGTGGGATCTTAGATCAGATTATAACGTGAAACTCTTCCATCAAACACTTGTTTAGTGAGATTGAGTTTCCCTTCCATGTGTTTCCTACACAGGAAACTAAGAGCACAGGTGCTGGTTCCAGATGAAAAGCATGTAGGCTTAATCTTGTCCACTCACTTCTCTTTACACTGTCTACGTTTAGAAATGTGATATCCCAACAGAACGTAGTGCATACCTGTGAAGA